AATTACTTCGGGTGTTCTAGCTGCTATACACACCAAGACCTTTTTGTCAGAGTATATCACTTTTAAATTGACTAGCATTTCTCAGATATAGCAAAGCAGATAATAGAAGGATAATTAAGAATGTAATTAGAAGCATGTTAATTATCACTACATTATAGATTGGAACCAAAAGTACCAACTACATAACTCAGTACAACTGGTAGATTGAACAGTGCAAGATGCATATGAATTGAAGAGCGAAGAGGTAATCTACGCAGAAATTTTAGACCACCACTATCATAGATGAACTTATCAGTATACTTCCTGAGATTAAGAGCTAATAATACAGAAATTCAGGGGTTAAATTTTCTTTTGCTAATAAGGTGCAGGGTTTTCATCAACAGGATGCACGAGCAAGAAGATAGTAGAGTCAAAACTCTACAGAACTTCTGTGACTCATCTCAATGTGATACCTGACATTCAATAAGAGTGCCACCAGATTGTACCAAATCATCCACGATGACAACATGTCGACCCTCAGGATTCCCTTCCTTAATTCGAACTATTCTCTTGTCACCTTCACGAACCTTTGCACAAACAACCTGTTATTTAATAATTGAACCTTCAGTCACAAACTCCTTGAGAACTACATTTATTGTATTCACTGTTTGTGACCAACAATCTAACCATTGGAAAGTGCATCAACAGCTTGTGAAACCGCTTCCATGCCCCATCATCTGGGAAAGCTATAGTTATCTATGTGGGTGACAATCACATGGGTCAGTGGATCGAGTCAAGATACATAACAGCAAAATTGCGATACGATATAATTTTTAGATCTAAAATAACTGTGTGGATAATTAAATGGATACATTATCTGCATCGGGAAGTTCATGAAGACGCTGCAACAATAGTGGAATGCCAGTTTCAAAGCAAGGCAAGACATCATCCCCAAAGTAAAATCTTTCCTGAGAAAATCAATAAGAAGATATGACACATAATGCTTGGACATATGAAACAAGGTTGATATATGAAAAATAGGCATATGAAATCATCTTGAGACTTGAAGAATTGTTTAGACAATGGTTCATCTAAGGATCAAACTATATCGAGATCAGCATATACAAGAATAATCTGAAGCAAAGAAGTCATCACAAGAAAAAAATTAGGCACCGAATAAATGTGCTTTTAACATATTTTCATATCAGACGAGACCAGTTGTTGATATTTACATGCACTTTCTCAACAATTTTGAGCACTAAAACATTGTGTCAAAGCCAAATTCAGAACCAACTTGTTAAAAGCTGGAATTACAGATTTGGTTGTAAAATCAGTAAAAGATACATTTGAAAGTTGTTGATATAACTGAAAGTTGTTGCCAACAAGATTGTGCACATATCCCAACAAGAGAAATTAAGGTCAGGAAAGATATTATTAAAACAATATTACAAAAAACAACTTTATGATGCAAAATATGATTTAAAAAAAAACATAAAGCCAAATAAAAAGCACCCATCAATATAGAGCCCATGGAGAGATTATTTCCATAACTCAAGTTCTAGTACCCAGGTTGCAAAGGAGCAACTTCACCACTGTATTAATGGTTGCCCACAAAAACATGATGTGAAGGTCGAACAAAACAAGAGTGAAAGAATAAAGACTAAGTAGAAAGAAATAAAGCAAGTCTGTTAAAGGACTTGATCGGTGATTTATTCTAACAACATAAGAAGTATATTTATTGTATGTATAAAGAATATACCCATGCACTTATAGTTCTTAAACATTAAAAAATTGGATCACGAGTGCCACTTGTCACTAAGTTGGCATGAAAGAAAGGGTCTAAAACTCCTCTGTATATCTTTCAATGCTCAGGAATTTGAAACATTACACCATCATTATACCAGGACAAGAAGAAAAACATAATTTTGACTGTAACAGAACATTCAACATTTTAAGGTTATGCTTCAAGCTAGTGCATCCCATTAAGCCTTGATTCTACTTTAACATAAAATAAGAAGATGCTTTCCTCATAGATCAATTGTCAAACATAGGTCAAAATCAAATATAGTTAAATTATGGACAGGTGACGAGCTAAAAGTTATTGCCCATGAAAAAGCAATAAGCACCTAATGAAAGAATACATGATGTGCCAATTCACAGGACAAATATTGATGCATGCTATTTATGAAGAAAAGGCTGTTAACAAGATCACAAGTACAGAAAGCTGCTAATTAAGATACAGAATATTCAAAAACAAATTAAAACTTGAAAATAATTTCTAGAAACCTGCAATGCATGTATGTCATAGATGACAATACTAGTCGGACCACCCCGAGACTTAGGAATCATTGACAATATCCGTGCCATTGTAAATGCAGTAGCCACATCTCCTTCTTCTTCCATCCGTTCAAAAGAACCAGTTGGGAAGAATGGCAACACCAAGGTGAAAGAAGAAATAAATAGTTTTGGCAAGGCAAAAATTGCAGATATTTGCTCAAAAATGACTCCTGGTGAGCTGAATGAGGCTAGAAAGGCAACATGCTGTCCTCTAATATCATGTGCGTTGTTAATAAAAAGGTTGGGGAATCCATCATCAAAGTTCCTGATAACATAATAGAAAAATGAATCAGTTAAGACATAACATTTCACTTTGGCAAAACAAACTTCTAACAATAATTTATCATGAAGACAAAGGAAACATAACCAACATAGTCGATGAGGAGAGAAATTATTAAAGTTAAAAATAAGACATTCTCAACTGAAGCTACAGATGAACAACCTATACAAGCTTCCTATGGGATAGATTTGATCGAAACCCCCTTTATACCATAAATACTAGTTCCCAGTGATATGGTCAAATCATTTAAAAGAATCAACTTTGATGAAGCATACATGATAGGTGATCCTGCTTCATCCATCAGAAAGATGATACTCCTTAAGCACTTAATTCTGATGCTCTTGTAGAAGGTAAAAGACCAATCAGCAACCTCGTTTATTAACTGAGCTAAAAAACAAAGTAACTTCATAATCCTTACCATAATTTGGACCAATTCCACGTGATCTATTTAGTGGATTCTAGAAACATCAATTTTATTAAGGAGCAATCCTCAAGCAAATAATTTATGTTCTAAGTCTTTTGACATTAGTAATTTTCTCACAAAGTGTGGAGGAGAAGACATTTCAATATGGTTACAGGGGTGAACGAAAAGACCTAATAGATTAGTATGTACATGCTTTACTATAATATAATCATGAATTCCCATCTTAAATCTAGTCTGGAATATTTTAGGGTCAAGTTAATCCATTTGCATTTAGAGACGTAATCAAGATACACCACTTTCTAGACAATAATTGATTTGCAAATAGGCAGGCAGTCTGTTCACCAATCGGACTGCTCTTGGAGAAAACTTCCCAAATAAGATCCCCATATTCCACAAATCAACAACGTCAACATTTGTTCAAGAGATAACAACAGAAGGGACGAAACGAAGTAACTTTATGCGGTAGAATGATAAACCACCCACACAGATTCATACATGCTTAACATAAAAAAGTGAAAGGCACAACAGATTAAGTAAAAAAAAAAACTTACCTTTAACAAAGTCAACCAAACGAGAACTCTACATGTGCCTTAATTTTGACGAGACACTCCAAATACGCAGGAACAGATAAAAATCAAGAGCTTAGGGGAAAACGCATCACTAAGAGAGTTCAGCAAAATGCATCTGGGTACTTAATGTACAGGAGGAAAAAAAAAAGCAAAAGATGAAGAACAACAAAATCCTATTTCAGTTAAAAAAATCATGCATCCGCTGTGCACACACAAAATTCAAAGCGCAGGACAAGAACGCTAAAGATCAAATCTTTAAGGCAGAAGCCTTAGAACCCATCTCAGTTATCTTATCTACTCGATAACGGCTCCTACACGAAGCTCGCGGAACCACAAAAAGGAACTAAGGAAATCAAACGATGGTCTACCTCCAAGTGATGGTCTGGAGCTGGATCACGTCGGAGTGGTCGGCCACCTTCCTGGCGAGCTCTTCGGACTCAGCGCAGTAGAAGAGGTTTATCTGCTTCTTTGCTCTTTTAGCCATCTCCCAGCACCACCGCTGCCCGCTGCCGCCAAAACCTACTCTCTTCTCGTGCCTCTTTAGGAGGAAATGGGTTGCAACATAAAGAAGAGGCTGAATAAATTCCCCCGCACCACTGCGGATGCCCCAAAGACTGGCAGGTCTTTATTCTGATGACTTTTGTAATCAAAATTACTTTTTTATTTCAATGGTGGCGACTGTTGAAGCATGACATTTGCGACACCCCCCAACGGACGCAAAGCCCTGCTCAGGCGAACCCTACACGGGCGAGTCGTAAGGAGTCTTTCCAGTACATTTTGGGCTCTGGGCTCGAGATAACACAGGCCAACAACCACAGCCACCCTTTAGCAGCGGCATCTAATGATGCAAGTTGCAGGATGATACAAAAGAATCGCCTCGGTTCAAGACATAAACCTCGATCAAGATATACATACACAAAAGAATTGATGCTGCAATTGATGGAATATGAGAAGAGCTAATCCCAAAAACCAAAACCTGGTAAGAAATGTCTCAAATCTAGCGCCTAGAGCAAGCAGGTCATTATATCGAATACTTGGTGAGCAGATTCTAGTGTTGACAGCACTATACCGGGCCCGAAAAGGACCGCCGCCATCGCTGGGAGGCACGGCTGGGCTGTTCTCCCGTTACCTTCGCCTCATCAGCGATTACTTTCCGACTGATTCTGATTCAATGGCCACGACAAGTAAACTAGACAGGTCGAGGTGTAGGATACGGTGTGGTCCCGGTCCGCCACAAAGACCGCCATAGAGGCTGCCACGACGGAATTAGTGTCCTCTCTCATTCCGGGGCCCGTGGCATCTACCCAATGGGAAAGCTGTTTCCATTGTATGGTGGCTCGGCCAAGACATGTGAACTGAACTTTAATATCTTTATAGATAGCGTAATCTGTTCCTGCGTTTGGTAATAGACACGAGAGGGAGATGGCGAGACTTGTGGGATCGCCGTGGGCTCGAATTAGGGTTCTTCCGGAGCTCCCTGCGCCTCTTTTCCGCCGGGGCTTCGCAGCTAAACCCTATATCTCGGTTCGCCGGAGGAACCTCTCCGTGTCGGCATCCTATGCAAACGCCGGCCCGACCGAGGGGGAGGTACGGGTCCGGTTCGCGCCGTCACCGACGGGGAATCTGCACGTTGGGGGAGCGAGGACGGCGCTCTTCAACTACCTCTTCGCCAGGTGCGTCCTTGGACGTTTCCTCAATCGCCTAATGCGAGTGTTTCTTTGTGTTGGATGATTATACTGTTTTTCACTGTTTAAATAGTTTTATTGGCATATATTTCTGAGCCATCAGTGATTCTTTGATTACTTGCGTCCTCTTTCCTTTATCTAATATGAAAAGAGACGCTGGTTTATGTATATTTATCAGCATGCCTGCCTTGAAATGCATACCCAACTATTGTTTCTTGATATCATGCGACATTATGACTCCGCTTTTTGAACTTCTGATCTTCATAGTCATATTAATTCTCTAGAATATTTTCTTGTTTGGAACATCTTTACAGATCACAAGGTGGGAAATTTATTTTGCGGATCGAGGACACTGATTTGGAGAGATCCACAAGGAAATCAGAAGAAGCAATGCTAAATGACCTATCTTGGCTTGGTCTTAACTGGGATGAAGGTATGTTTTGTTGAAGTGCTGCAAATATATCAGTTATTATTTGCTGTGCTTTACATTACTCTTTAATTCTTACTTTTTTGTTTTCATGTACATTTTTGTGAAATATAGTATATTGCATTGTACTATTGGGAGAGCCTTATCTATCAAATGCTTGATTCCGATGGCTATCAGTCTGCATCCTTTGCGTAAGACAGATACACAAGGGAAGATAATTAATCAATTGATTGTTTAACAACCAAAGCAACTAATTTCTTTTGTTAGAAATCCCAATTTCATTGATGCTTGCAGAGAAATGCATTTGCATTTTTTAGCTTCCATGTTGATCTTTCCAATCTCTGTTCCATCTTATTCTGCTTATAATCTAATAGGTACCTTTTTTCTGTTAACTTTGACGCGTTGCTGAATATTCCATTTCTTCTGCTGTTCCTTATTTTGGCAATGTTACTCAACCAAATTATTACCAACTTTATGGTGAAACTATAGAATGACAAAGTTGCCAAGAGCAAGAGGATACTATGGTGATTAATTGTCAACTGGAGGTTTTAATATTTTCATGACAACGCAGCTTACTATAGCAATCAAAACCAGTATCTCAAAAACTTATTTAAGTACTAACTGAAGAAAATATCAGCTCAATAGCTTATCATTTTCTCTTAGTTTGAACTCTTCAGTTTTGTTTTCGTGCATCTATCTTACAGATGCAATAAGTGCATCCATTTGTTGCCCTATAGTAGGTAGTAGACATATGTCAAATTCAAATGGTTGTTTTCTCAGAACCCTAAGTCATAGGACTAAAAATAATCCGTTCTTAGATCTTAAGGTAAGAAGCAACATTATGATATCTATCTTTGAAAATTGTATAACTGGGTTTTCCAATTGTTGTATGAATTTACAAGAGAAAACTAACAAATAAATTTTATAGCAAACCTGCATAGCTAGGACTATATTTAGATTTAGGAACAATAGAATCTATGACAGAAGTCATGCATCTAATCTATCTTTTAGACACTCATGCATGTGCATACATGTTTATGTATGATACAGTTTTTTCTTTTATGATGGAATATATGTGTATAGTTATACTATCAAGTATCAACAACTATAGTTTACAAAATCGGTCTTGTCCAAATTGGAGTTGGCCATTTTGGATCAGGATAGGCATCAGCCAAACCAATTCTCTCGATCTATCACCTGGATCCTTGGTAACTGGAAAGAATGGCTGGAATATAAGCTAAAACAGCTAACCCCGCCATTAATATACTGGTTGCTAGAAGAGGAGGTCATGTAATGAAATTCATTGTGAAGTTCGTGGCTTGTATTCATTGTCATCACACTTGTTTGCTGAGGTTACTAGCTAAACTTGCCACAAATATACTGGTTGCTAGAAAGGGAGGGAGAGGAAGTCCTACAGTGTAATTTGTCGCCAGACTTGTAGTTTGTATTCGCTGTCATCACTGCTGTTTGTTGCTGTCGCTGTTACCATGTCAATTGCAGTCTGTTGCCAGCACCAATCTCTATTGTTGTTGAGAGAGAGGGAGGACGGGAAAAAGAAAATAAATAAAGAAGTAGTATCTTCTCTCAGGAATCATGAGTCTTGTGACTCTTGAGAGACTGGTGATTCTATGGCTCGAGCTTTAGAAAAATAAAAATATAAAGAAACTGTTTATCACTTGCCTGATCACATACCTACCTTGAGATTGGGTCGTAGGCAGGACTCAAACACGACAAAACAATCAGAATTCTGCTGTGTCCAATTACAGTGCAACTATGTGAGTAGACATGCCATGAGCAAGTAGTCACGATACTTAAAAAAAGGATGTCCTACTTATGGAAGCTATTCTATATTTTTTATTGACTTTGTTGTTGTTGTATATTTTTTATTGGAGGCAGCAAATGACTCTAGTGGATTCATATGAGGTCGTTGCTGCCTCCCACTGGAAAGTAGGTTGGTGAGGTGGTCGAGACCTGTACAACAAAATTGACATGAAGAATTAGATTTTTGTTTAAAAAAGTTAAAATTTCCATTAAACTTTTAGATTTTGTTTTGGTCTTCTAAAATTTTCTATTTTAAGTAAAAATCAAGAATTAATTAAAAGTAAATTGCCTTTTTTTGCTTTGGTAAGGTTTGAAGATACAACATGGGGCATGATTTATTCTTAGGTAAAATCTCTAATAATTTGTCACAAGTGTTTTTGTTTTCTTGCCTTTGTTTCTAAGTTTTCTGTTTGTATATAGTTATTTCTTACTGAAGTTTTGGAAACAAGAATTCATTTGAAAAGAATAGACAATGTATCGAATATATTTTATCCCTTGGTTTTTCAGGTTTTGTATCTAACAGAAAAATCAAAGAAGGGACTCCAGAGAGCCCCTAAGAGATACCTTGCTTCATTAAATAGTGTATGATTTATAGTGTTTCAGCTCCTAACTAAGCCTACTTTTTCATCATCGTATCACTTAATTAAAAGATGTGATATCGTGTGCTAAATCTACAGGCCCTAGTGTGGGTGGAGATTATGGTCCGTATCGGCAATCAGAACGAAATTCCTTGTACAAAGAATATGCTGAGAAGTTGTTGGAAAGTGGTGCCGTCTACAGATGCTTCTGTTCCAATGAGGTAATTTATGGAAACTTTTTACCAGAATGGCTAGTTAGGTGCTTGCTTTATATGGTTCTATAAATTTATTCACTAGGATATCTGCAATTGCTTTAACTAGAATACCATAAGTTATAACCTGTTTTATCTTTTCAAGAGAATTCCCTCTCTTGTCAATAGGTACATGAAACTTATGGGTTGACAGTAAGATCCAGTGCCACTGTTCTTTTTCTTCTTCGCCTTCTTTTTGCCCTTGGTTTCATCTTAAATATTTATGTATTCTTTTATCAAACAAAGAATTATTGGTAAACCTAAAGTCAACCTTCAGGACTAATTTTTCTGCTTTTAACATGTGAACATTCTTTCATGGTCAATTAATTGTCTCTTTTCTGAATTTGAGTTATTAACCACTAGTTTTCTGTTCAGAATCAGAACATCTTTTGAGTCTTTGACACAAAATTTGAAGGCATTTCAATTAAAAAATTAGATTCTTACATGTGATCTGCATGTGATGAGTCACTTGGAATCCGAGACATTGCCATATTTTATAGATATCAATGGTTACTAAGAAGAAAGAAGATTATTTTGGAAATGCTGGTTTTCTATATGGCTGCAAAAATAGCATCATCACCATGTCTGTGATGGCATGAAAGGCCTCTTCCATTGTACATTGTAGTTATATTTAATAATTTAGGCTGCTAATATAGCAACAATGCTTCAAATGTTCTGGAAAAGAGATTTTGAAACAGTTTAAAGTTGAAGTTGTTGTTGTTTTAGGTTGTTCCATAAATGGTACTCCTGTTAGTAATCTCCATGCAAAGCCATATTTCTACACTTTTTGATTTGGTTGGTCATTCATTTTTCCAATATTTAACCCTTTCTCCTATAGTATGTGCTTTGAATGGTTTCTTTAGACTAATTAAGAAAAAGAAGAAAAAAGAAAGAAAGAAAAGCATAAAGTCATGTATCCTATTGTATTTGTATTGATGGTTTGTTACATCTTAAATGCATACGCAGCTTAAAGATTCAATTTCATACTTTTATCAATGAGTGGACCATGACAAATGCCTTGAAATTTTGTAGGAAAACTATATTAGTGAAACCTGTCTTTAAAATTTCCATCAACATTCTAGAGGATCAACGATTAGGCTATAGCCATGTGGTGTGTACCACCTTATGTGCAATGGTGCATTCTGCACCATCTATTTTGAGTGGCAGCACAATTTTAAAGGGATAGCCAGGTGCTCAATTTCTGATTAATGTTTAGTATTCTATGGACCTGTATTTCCAACTTAGCAACAATAGCAGTGGCCGTCCAACATAGAAGTAGTATCCAACATAGTTGGAAAATTTTGTCTCTGACCATGAATAATGGGAATATGTATGTTGAATTATTAACTTGGAAAAGTTTAAATTCCTGGAAGTAAAAAGGTTAAGTACAACCACTGTCCAGGAACATTAGCTCTTTTATTTTACATTTTCTCTTGGTTGTTGGGAAATCCATTATGGCTTATGTGATGCATTTTATGTCTAAACATATAATCTTGGATCTTAATTTTTGAATGATAATTGTATTAATAAGAAACAAAATTTGGGGAACTATGAGGTTCCTTGAAGAACTACTGATGCTAGGGCCATACATAATCTCAAGTATACCTTGCATAGAGAAAATAGAAAGATTTTCTCTTTTGTAATGTTGTTCAAATCCAAGCATGATGATTGTGCTTCTTCAAATCTGTGTCATTCAGCCCATCAAGGAAAGTCCATAAAAGAGTAATGACTTGAATCATGAGAATGAAGTTTGATTATTCTATCTCCTTTAGTGTTACCCAGTCACTCTGTGATGGTTGTGCTTGTTCAGTTTAAATTCAATTTAAATTGTCATTCAGCCAACTGAGGAAAATCCTTGAGCAGAATTACTGACTTTTGACTCATGATAAATGATATTTTTTGATCTGAAGTATTCCAATTTGATAAAAATGATATTGCGTGGATTACTGAGCTCTTTGACTGAAGATCACATTTATACTTGAACTTTCTGTAGTTTTGAATGTTTTATTTGTTAAGATATCATAAAACCTATCAGGTTTGTTGCTTATATGTGCTTCTGGGCTATTTTTCCCTGTGACACAATGATGTTCTTTGTCATATGTCAATCAAGCATGACACCTCACTGATACGCTAGACTAACTCTTTTGATGTCTGAATGAACCAACCGTAGGTATATAAGCTACAAAACTGATGATAGAATGAAACTGCATATTTTGCAGGTCCTAGTGGAAAACGTAAGTTGGGAGTTACAATAAGAGACAAGAAACTTTGTATCTATTTCTTTTTAGTTTTTTCACCAACATTCAAGTATATAAATGTCAAGTATGCTAATAATCACAAGCATATGTATCTTTGGCACTACAATATCTGGAGCGTGGATCACCCTGTTATGTGGAATGAAAACAGGAACACAGAATAGTAGTTCCAGAACATGATAAAATAGGAGTGGATTTCTTCATATTACTTAAATCAGAATGAGACAAGTTTATTTGCAAGGGGATTGTACATATTATGAATTAGGGTGCAAAAATTGATTCATTAGGATGGCCGTCTAGAGATAAATGCCTCTGTATTAGCCCTTTTCTGTTAACACAAGATTTAGCAAGTAGATAATGCAGAATTTCTGTAAGATGTCCAGTAGAAAAAGATTCAGGACACATGATTTTCTTTCTGTAAAGACTGCATATGTTTTCTTTGGAATATTTTGAAAATTTGCTATTAGGTACTTGGTATGGTTCTTTCAATAGTTGTATCTGAGAGCAGATGTCCTTTTTGTTCTATTGACTATTATTATACAGTATCCTTCTTTTTTTCAGTTTGTTATGTTCATATAATGAGTTTCTTGTTAAATTTTATTTCTAAAGGAACTAGAACAAATGAAGGAAAGAGCAAAACAGATGCAGCTGCCACCGATGTATACGGGGAAGTGGAGAACCGCATCAGATGAAGAAATAAAGCAGGAGTTGGCAAAAGGAACATCTTACACATATCGTTTCCGTGTACCTAAGGAAGGAAACTTGAAAATTACTGACCTTATTCGTGGTGAAGTAAGATATTTGTTTATCTTGCTTTCTAGAAAATATAATGTTGGATTAATATTGTGCATACCACGATTTTTTTTTTCATATTTTGAGACTCCTGGTTTCATTAATTTAATTTTAATCCATGCGCTGCTAATTCACTACATAGTCTCGTGAAGGTCAGTTGGAGCTTGGACACACTTGGTGACTTTGTCATTATGAGAAGCAATGGCCAACCTGTATACAATTTCTGTGTCACAGTTGATGACGCCACAATGCGAATATCACATGTTATAAGGTAGTGTCATACATACATTATATGACATTTTCTTTCAAGTTTACAATATTCTCATAATGGATTCAGGATGAGCCTTCATCATTATTTGGTGTCTTAATTTCAGAGCAGAGGAGCATTTACCTAACACCTTGCGACAAGCACTTATTTACAAAGTATGCTCCTGTTTCTTTTATCCTTGTACTTATGTTCAGATGTAATGCCAATGGTGAATCACTACAAACATGAGCAACGTGGTGAATCATTATTGATACTCTTTGCAGGCACTTGGATTTTCAATGCCTTCCTTTGCACATGTTTCTTTAATTCTTGCCCCGGATAGAAGTAAGTTATCAAAACGTCATGGTGCAACTTCGGTCGGACAGGTAACTAATTGATTCAAGAATAAGTTTCATGGCTGACCTACCGTTACCACAAAGATACTGTTTGAAATTCTTTCAATATGGTCAGCCCTTGTAGATATTGTACATATTATTTCATTCATTTGTTAGTTCAGGGAGATGGGGTATTTACCCCAGGCAATGGTGAACTACTTGGCACTCTTAGGTTGGGGAGATGGTACCGAAAATGAATTTTTCACCATTGATCAGCTTGGTTGGTGGTTTTACTTTGTTTCTTCTCATGTTTATATATGTTTTGATTCATAATGATAAGAATTAGAAAGGAAGAAGTCATGTGTTTGCTTACTGAAGTGCGCAATTCAACTTTGCAGTTGAGAAGTTCTCAATAAGTCGTGTAAATAAAAGTGGGGCAATTTTTGATTCTACAAAGTTAAGGTACAAACTAGAAACAATTTAATTTATTACAAGTATGTTGAATTGTGCATTGAGATATTAATGATGCTTTGTTTTGATGCAATTATTATGGAGCTAAATATTCATAAATGTGAATTCCTAGTTTAAAAAAATTTAAATATATTTTTTATGCTGTTCCATGTACTCAAATTCTTAAAGTAAAAAAAATGAAGTCAAAATACGTAAACGGCAGAATTCTTTTAATACTACCTATGTGTCCTTTAATTTGTTCATAAACATGTAATCTTTGATTATCTCATCGGCACCTCAAATTTAGTGCCATATCAGATGTACAACTGAACTTATTAGTTGATAATCAGTCGAGTTGATTTCTAGGGTTTAGGGTGAGTCTGTTACTACTGAACTTATTAAATTGATGAATTAGTTATTCAACCAAATGAATCGTAACAAATGGTATCAACATGAACGGATGAACCTATTATTGGACATGGTGAGGGGCACAAGTGACAAAGAACTATTTGTGTATGGGGTTGAAACTTGATAGTATCATAGTGTGGAATCAAATCATCATTAGGTTGAGTCACATGCACCATACTAGGATTTGATTCCCATGGATGGGATTGGAGGCACATCATGGTATTCTACTAGGTTGAACCTCACATGCAATATATTAGGATTCGATTCTGGACTATATTCGGACATTGACGAAAACATTAAGCTTAAATATAAGAGATGTGAAACCTCATGTTTGATCCTACATCAGTTATGGGAGGTCAATTGAGTTGGTTTGTTGGTTTATAGGGTTATATTGAGTATACTCTTATTAATTTAGGCTTGAGTATTTTGGGTTAGTAGTTTAGGCTTATCAAGTTAATGACTCATATATCCCAATTAGATTTTGACAACATTCACAAATAGTGTTACTTCAGAATAGTTTATTTGCATTAGGCATGTTGGTTATGAATAAGAACATACTGGAAATGGTAGGTCGTTGTTTAAGGCTTGCTACAATTACTTCATATGGTATGATTTTCTGTGCCCCTTCTGTTTACCTAGGTGCTTCTTTGCATGCACCTGTGACTTGCTGCAGCAGCATGAGCTGCAAAATTGTATAGTGGTTTTCTATGGTATAGGTTGCATGCTAGGATTATTTTTTCAGTTCCGTTTTAATCCTTTTATTGCTTTAATTGGTTAAGTAATTTCAGTTAATTTCTCTTTCTTTTCTTATCCGAGTTATCAGTTATGTATGCTTAGAGTAAGCCAGTGGAGGCTGACCTTGTCAGCAGAATTTCTGCGGCTTCAATGAGTACATAGGGTTTTTCTTTCTTGTTGGATAATCTCCATTGTTTTTGCCTGTTCCCTTACATGATCTGCTATCCAAACAGATGGATGAATGGTCAGCATTTAAGATCCCTTCCGCCAGAAGAGTTGTTAAAGATTTTTGGAGACAGGTGGAAGTGCACTGGTGTTCTCTTGGAATCTGAAGGAATATTTATAAAGGTGAGATTTAGGTTTCATCTTTTGCCATATTTGTGCAATATAGGGACTGACATCATTGTTGAAATTTGAGAGTTAAAATCTTGCATATAAACACTTAAGGCGCCATACATTGTAGTTGTCTCAGTTCTACTGTAGTAGTTTGTTTGAAAATTTAGATTGGAAGGTTTAATTGGAATTATAACCAAGTGGATGTCACTTAAATGGTTGATTTCCATGAGTCCATGAACTCAGGAATCAAAACAAAAATTAATAGGCTATTTTGTTATAAAAAATTTAGGGATTTTGAAATGTTAGAGCTATTTTTTGTCACTTGAAAGCAAGGTTCGCAATACCGTACCGTACCAATATTTCGACCTGGGCTCGGTACCAGTACGGTACGGTATACTGAGCGGTACACTCAGGTGTGCCGAGCACTGTAGCACTGCTACAGTGCTACAGTGCACTCGGACCGGTAACAGGCGGTCTACGTACCGACAACCTGTCGGACCGGTACGTACCGCCCGTACCGGGTGGTACAGTCGGTACGGTAGACCCTGCTTGAAAGTTCTTTGTGACCCATCAGGAATAGAAGTCGAAATACAACTCACCTAGTATGTGTTTAAAGTTTGCCAACATCTAGAACTTGGCTTCCTTACAATCAAACATAAATTACCCATTAGGATTCAGATTCTATTACCAAATGTCCCAAAATCTGTGTAAATTTGTGCTAGGATTGGTTAGGTCTTTATCTTGTTGATTCTGCGCTTGTGTTGAAGAATTTTTCTTATTCTTGAGCCATATATCTTGTTGTAGATTGAGTCAAACTAACTTTCAGCATTAATAGTTAAATGATTATTAAATAGTAAACACAAAGTTACAGTGACCTTGTTGAATATAGTCATGCCTGTGGGCCGGGCTTGGGACACAATAGGTCCCATCAATATCCACACGCACTATAATCTCATGTATAGGGTCCATATCCAATTGCCTACATAGTACACGGTGGAATCATATGTTAGTTGCACATATATCAGACAATATTTATTCTAAGCTGATTCAAACAATATGTATCAATTAACCAGAAGTATTAGAAGTCATCAACTCAACATTGTTGCAGTATAAATTGTTGTTGGCCTTTTTTTTCTCAAGTAATTTCCTTAGATGCAGTGTTGGTCATCCTCGATCCACTCCCTTTAGTTCTATATCAATGTTAGCAGCAAGACTTGTTTCTCTAGGCTCAGGCTCGGTAGCTCAGGTTTTTCAACCATTTTAGTTGCATGAGCATCTAAGGATGGAGTTGATGATTATATGAGAATACACAGTAAAACTTAGCACCACTAGTAGGTGAGAGTAAATAAATAATAAATGATTGTAATACAATTCATATAATAGCTTCAAATGTATAGAGCATGCATGAGGAAGTGGATCTGGGGTAAACATACCTTTAAAGGACGTTTGGTCAATTCACAGTAGTCATAATAAAATGTGATATAATCACTTCAAGGGAATGTGGTCATTTGGCGAAGTTCATGAAAGCTAGTTTGATCCAGTTGGGGGTTCATTTGCTCAGGTTATGAAGCAAACGGTAGATCAGTGCATTTCAATTTGATATATTGAGGTGATTATAAGAAAGAATGCTAAAATGCACAAACAATGTCCAAATTGTGAAACCGCTGTCTATCGCAGATTTTTGAGGAAATCCCTATTATCTTTAGACAATATGCAAATGGGATATAACAGAAGTTAACCCCTTCTCGACCTGCGTGGTTTGCTTGTTGTTTATCATTGATTTTATCAACTTTCTGGACATGTTTGATTCATGTTTTACAGTAACATGATTACAGACATTGCACAATGATGCTTGCTGCACAAATATACATGCAGGATTCGACAGAGTTGTTGAAGGATGGGGTTGATCTAATAACAGAAGTGGACACAGCTCTGTCAAATCTATTGTCTTATCCATTGTACACTACTCTATCTAGGTGAGGGTGAAAGCTTCTTATTACATGATATTAAGATGATCAATACTTGATTCACTTCCACATTGCTTAGGTTGTTTCTCCTGTTTTCCAAATGAATCTTGTGTTATTATTCTAGGTAAATTTTGATTGGCCACAATTGTTTTGACACCATTGAACTCAAGCATATAAGAAATAACTTCCTCAAGTGAATTTCCATTCATTTTTAGTTGAGTGCCACTGAGGGATAAGACTATATGTGAGTTCTAAATATGATTTTCTGATCAAGTGTCATCACATACAATTGACAGCGAAGAATGTAAACCTATTGTACAAGACAAGCTTTCTGAGGTGGCTGCTAGTTTAATTGCTGCTTATGATGGTGGGGAGCTCCCTGCAGCACTGGAAGAAGGGCATGCTGGTTGGCAGAAATGGGTGAAAGGCTTCGGCAAGCTACTGAAGCGCAAGGTCAGTTCTTTCTGATACATTAATAGTGTCGATAAGTTTAGTGTGTCATACTCGAAACTGTGGACCCTTTGGATACTATACATTCAAGGTGTGCACAAGTTGCAAAGTTCAAATAATCTACTACATCAACATTTTGTCAGTATGGAGCTGGGGACTGTTGACTGGTGGTCTGAGTCCATGCTAAGCAGTCATATTCTATTAGTAATAGTTTATTGCTGATAGCTTGATAGTCGCGATTTTTCTAAAAAGTCATGCAAATGCTAATCCTTTTTTAATGTAATCTTTAACGGCAATAAAAGGACCCTTTTTGGGCTTTGTACTAGTGAAGTTTGTTGTCTTTCCTATTATAAATGTAATTTGTTTTGAGTCAAGTTCATCGTACCATAGCGTATCACCTGGCACAGTATCAGTCTGACAGGGGATTGGTATGGGCTGATACATATTAGTGAGAGTCAGTTGTTCTGAAATTATCCTAGAGATGAATTAATCATTCATTGAATTTAAATTTTCTTTGTGAATTTTCTCAATATCTCGTGTTAACTGTCAAATTTTGTCTGCTCATTCTCTATGTTTAACACCTCAAAGCCCACCTTATGCCTTGTGCATTTTTGTCAGGGGAAGTCTCTCTTTATGCCTCTGCGAGTCTTGCTGACAGGAAAGCTTCATGGCCCAGATATGGGAGGCAGCATTCTTTTGATATATAAAGCTGGTCTTTGGGGAGTGGTTAACCCAGAAGCAGGTTTTATAACATTAGCCGAGAGATTTAAAATGTTGAGGGAGGTCGACTGGGAAGCCTTGGACAAGGAGAACAAACAACTTGAATCTGTTGCTGGTCAATCTGATTAAGTTCGTTTATACCCTTCAGGTACATTTTACTATCCGGTTGGTGCAACCACAGTTGTGTTTTGAGCTCTTTTGATGGTCTTGTGTGGGATAAAGGTCTTAACCCAACTACCGAGCAAATCTGCACACTTTTTTTCTGAATATTGACCCTGATTTGATGAAATATTTTCTTTCAGTACCATCTAATCTCTCTAGACTGCCAATTGCTTTTGTGGAGTGCCCTTAAATTTTTCCAAGCATGTTGTATGACCACCTTTGGACAGGTCTTTCATCGGCTGCTGCGGTGTGTTTCTTGCTGCCACAAGTTTCATCGAGTTCTGCTGGATCAATTTCACCTGCTCGTTGCTTATGCTGTGTGTTGGCATGTACCTGTCTGCCTAGGTATGCTCTTCACAAGCATATAGGCCAACTGTATGCTTTATAAAACAGCATGGCATAGCATAGCATGATTTTGATTCGCTCACTTATCTTTGTTAGTTGTTCTAGCATGTTTTGATTGTTCTTCATAACCTACATTTGTCGAGGTTGTTATCCATGAAAATTTTTAAGGCTATGATTGAGTTGATAACTATGGATTTTTTATGAAACTGGAACACAGTCTGGCAAACGAACGTCTCAGGTATTGTAGGCTGTCTACATGGCATGTCTTTGGTAGATGCTCATTGCTTTCTCTAAAAGCAGCTTAAAACAAAGATACTAGTGTTATGGTAAGAGCTTCTGTAGGGTTTAAGACACCATCAATCTCAGTGATTGTAAATACTAGTTCCAACAAAAACAATCAATGGCTACTACGAATTCCAAGTACCAAACACTGGTCTTTTAGCCAAAAAAAAGAAAAGAAAAAAAGGAAAGAACAAAATAAAACGCCTGTCGGCACACGAACATGGGGTGATTCTCTGGTTGCGTTGTGCATGGATGGATCCTCAGAATCTGCAGTGAGCTCTGCAGTTACTGTGGCAGTCGTAGAAGCACGGCCCATCGCAGTGCATGGGGCAGAGCAGCTTCATTCCGCCGCACCGCCCCCTCCCGCTGCACCGGGCGTACTCCCCCACCCTGTACAAGCTCGAACTGTAGTTGTGACCGCCATCCGCCCTGTCGTCTCTGCTTTCATGCCTACTCCGTCTTCTCCTGCCTGCACCACCGCCTCCTCCTCCTCGTCCTTCGCTGCCACCCGAGCTGCCACCGCCACCACGTCCTCCGCCTCCGCCTCCGCCTCCGCCACCACCATTTTCGTTGCCCCATCCCCATCCATAACCCCAACCCCAACCCCAACCCCAAGTACTACCAGCTCCACCTTCTCCGCCGCCGCCACCATTACCACCACCACCTCCTCCCCCTCCCCCTCCACCTCTCCCACCTTTGCCGCCGCCGCCACCATTACCACCACCTCCTCCTCCTCCCCCTCCCCCTCCCCCTCCCCCTCCACCTCTCCCACCTTTGCCGCTGCCGTTACCATTACCATCCGTCAACCATTGCCTGCGCTCGTAGACGTCTCCCGGAGTAACGTTGACATCTCTCTTACTGAGCTGCGCGGGTTGCAATTCATTGCGTGGCGACGGATGGTCACTCGCGAAGCAAATCATGATGGTGGAGACTGCGGCGGAAGCAAGACACAAGAATCCCTGCCATGGATTCCTTCTCGTTCTTCTTCCTCCTCCTCCACCTCCCGATAACCTCATTTAGACTGACTCGCTCCCTTTCTATTTGCTGTTCTCAGGACGCCAGCAGACGACCATTTGATAGCTGCACATTTATTCTAGTGGAGCGTGTGGTGACGGTAATGATGGGAACAGCTGGGCAAGAAGAACCGAGGAGAGACTGCGGGCTCAAACGCGCGCGCACACACAACAGAATAATGTGGCTTGCATTCTACTCTTCCCCGCATGCCGAAGACTGCTTTCTATTGACCAGTGCGTTAGGGGCGGAAATGATTGCAGGATTAGGATGGGGTTGGCAATGCTTGCTCATCCTTCTCTTCCTATTACCTCGCACACTGTTCCCCTCAATGGAGGCTTGCATCAGCCATCCTCTTTCTTGCGTCCACTAGCTTTGCCCATGTTGGAAGTCGGGATGTAAGCTTCCATATCTTTTCTGCATTGAGCTATCAAGGAAGCATTCGTGGTATTCTACTCACTGCGCTACGATTGTAAGTCCATCGTTTCCATGTGTCAGTGCTTCATATCATGACTGATTGAAGCATCCACCAAGCTGATATGTTGAAATCAAGAACAAAATGTGTTCTTGTCGATTCGTATTTGAGTCTTCTATGGATTGTTTGATACTAGAAACTGACTTGATGCAGGCAGCGCGAGATCGCCTACATTGGAGGCGTTTTTGCGGGCAATTGTTTCAGGTAAATCTCACAATATTTGGTCAAATATATCAACATTTCTTTCAAATTCTCAATATCAAGTACATGCCTTACCACTTTAACATTCTCTAATCTTTGGAAATCTTGCTCATGGGTGTTGGACTATTGTAGAGAATCAACCTCTACATACCTTTTGGTGCAACAGGAAGTAGTCTAGCAGAAAACATCAAGTTTTTCTTCTATTTTTCCCTTTTTTGCACTCGAAGGACACTGACCTATCATATTGAATGCCATTAACAAGTATTAATTTGAGAATATGGATGGGTTAATAAAGTGGACAACAAAATGTGCACTTAATATTGGATGACCAATTTTTTGACCAGCTAAAAGAAAAAAAAAGAGTTGATAAGAGACAATTTGATCGGTCGATCATTGGTACGACCCGTAGGTTCGCGAGAAATTATTCGAGTCTATGGGCGTTGGACTATTGTAGAGAATCAATCTCTACGTACCTTTTGGTACAACAGGAAGTCTAGGAGAAAGCATCAAGTTTTTCTTCTATTTTTCTTTTTTATTTTTCACTCAGAAGGATAATGACCTATCACCTTGACTGCCATTAAC